ATGTTCCTTATCGCAAATTTTGATTGTGCCATCGCCAAAGCCACTTGTAAATAAATGTGAGTCCGTTGGATGAAAAAACAGATCCGCCACACAATCATAAATTACTGAATGACCTTCAAATGTAGTTTTTTTTTTTTTTTTGCCAATTTCTGGTCCAGTCCCACAAAAAAATGTGGTTTACGAAACTGGTAAGTAGAAAAGGTAAAGCTATGATGGACCGCCAGTCCAAATGCAGAACCATTATAAGAAGACTTCATTTCAATGATATGCCGCAAGCCTGAAGCTTGGATTTCATGCATATCGAAGGACAGGTATGCTATAATAAAGTCGCAAGTCTACATCCACAGGTATGCTAGAAGGACAGACGATGTGATACAGTCTTAAATCAAAGAAGACTGCGATACAGAAAAAGAACCACAGTACACAGGTCAGTTGGACAAGGACACGTGCACCCAGATCACCATAAAAAAAAACCACCTGAGAAAAGTGAGGGTAATAGAGACGGAGGAGTTCACGATATTTGGTCCAGCAACAGATATTCAGAATTTGGAGACATTTCTCCAAGGGTGAGGAGATGCTTCTGATAGGAAGTGGACCGCCTACTGCCTGGCCTCACTACCAAAAGTGTATATTCCAACTTTTAAGGCAATACGTATTGTGGACAATATGGAAACGCAGATGCCAGCAGGCCATCGGAAACAAGCAAATGCACAGGCGAGAAGCGAATGAGACATTGTACAATCTAGTGGAGACAGACATCCGGGCGCAAGGAAGGGAATCCCCAAGCGGGCCCAACAAAACCCAATGCAAGCCAATAACCTAATGGAAAATTTTCAAAAGAGGGTTTTGCTCCGAGGGAAGATAGCAACATCTTCTTCCATTGCTTTGAAAGATAGACGTATCGAACAGGAAACAACTAGGGTTGGGTTTTGCAGAGGTATTTGAAAGCACAGGTAAGACAGGTCAGGGTTGAAGGCGAGGTTAGATTGAAAGAGAGAGGAGAGGGAAAAGTTAGGCAGAGGAAAATAGAGGTAGGTTTAGGGAGTAGCGTGTTGGGACACTCTGCACTAGTTTCAGTTCTTCCATATATCACTTCAGCCCTATCACTTCTTAAGTGCAACCTAGGCGTAGGACAGTCAGTTCTCTCGGCTCCCAAGCGCAACCTAGGGATTAGTTGGAAGGTTCTTTCCTTTATTTTTATTTGTCTTTTGTCAATCCTGGTCGGTTTTTGTTCAGGAATAACATGTAGCTTGATAGGAGGAAGGGACACTGGACTCGGTTTCCAGCATGAGCCTAATCTGGGTAATGACCCCAGTCTTCCGGGTTGAGATGTGGAGGGATTCTCGGCCTCCTTTTGTTCTAAATATAATGAAGCATGTTATTTGCTTAAAAAAAAAAAAAAAAAAAAAAGAACCACAGGTGCTACAATGTGTCCACTGCGGGAAAAACCCTGAAACCAGAGGTGTTGCAGCACACGCCAAGAGAACAGATGAGCATACTAGAAATGACAATGGTAGCACACAAATCAGCAGCAGTGGATATAACACTTTATCGCAGGTGCTCCGATATAGTACTATAGCCACAGGGAGCAACATGCCAGGGGCCACAAAGGCCCAGCTTAGAGTCCCCTCACCCATCCCAGAAAGCCAACCCCTGAAAGAAACATTGGCGCAAGCCGCAAGGCATGTTCAAAATGGGATTTTTGCATTCCACCAGAGCAAGGGGAGGAAAACCAAACATGGGTAGAATGTCTGTGAAGTAAAATATATTTGCAGAAGGAAACGAGCACATGCCAATCAGGATGAACCACAACATTTCTCGTTGGGAAACGAAAATTTGAAAACCCAACAATCCAAAATTTTGAGGGGATATGGTTGAAGCCCACCTAAACTTTGACAACTCGACATAAGAAACTCGTCATGTTCGAAGCTCAAGTAAACTTTTAGCTCTGAAGGTAGCAGAATCCCAAACAGAAGTGAAACACAAAAGTAGTCTTTGCAACGATTACAAAAAGGGCACCCAGTTAGCGTTGCTATCTTTCCTTGGAGTAAGACCTTCTTTTGAAAGTTATCCGTTAACTCCTTGGCTTGCATTGGGTTTTGCTGGGCCTGCTTGCGAATTCTCTACCATTGCGCACGAATGTCTGTTTTCCATTAGGTTGTATAACGTCTCCTTCGTTTCTTGCCTGTGCATTTGCTTGTTGTCGATGACCTGCTGACACCTGCGCTTCCATATCGTCCAGAGTACGTATTGCGTTATTAACTAGAATGCGCGCTTCTGGTAGTGTGGCCCCACCACAGAAGGGTTATTTCCTTTCAACAGCGTCTCCTCGCTCTCACGGATTCCGATTCCAAAGGAGAGTATGTAATTTTTGTCCAGAGTGACTTAGCGATGTCCCATAAATATACTGCTTCTGGGCAGGTCAGGGTAGAGATACTTAAAAGGAGCAGATAGGACAACAATAACAGAAGGGTGGACATAGAGTTTTAACTTCCAAGATCATTAAGGCAGGATAAGTGAGACTTAAGGAAAAGAGAGACTTATGGGCTTCCGTTGGGTTTAGGGTTTAAGCAGATCTGTCAGAGAAGTGGACCGGTCGGAGGTAATGAAAAAATGAACAATGGCGGGCGGCTTAAGCGCCTAAGACGACGATGGAGAGAAGGATAGTAGGTAATTTCCACTGTTTTATGCTATTTTGTCCTTTGTTAATCCAACTTTTGCCTTTGTTCAAGGGGTAGCAAGCAGTTGCATAGGAGGAAGCAGCACGAGATTCAAGTTTTTGTAGGAGCGTAATCTGCGTAATGGCCCCAACTTTCCGGGTTGAGATGTGGAGGGATTCCCGGCCCCCTTTTGCTCCAAACAAAATAAAGCATGCTATTTCTTTAAAAAAATAAATAAATAAAATTACAAAGAGAACCTTACACGACGCTTCCTTCCGTCAGGACGAGAGGTAGGATTGATTGCCAGGCTTGCCTTAACATTGCTTCTATTCCTAGCTGACCATTTGCAAATGAACCGACAGATCCTAATTTCACCCGAGAACGTCTGCAAGTTGTTCAACCCTTGTAGATGGATGGTTGTGTGGAGTGCAAATCTTGAATGAGTGCATGGTTGATCGTGCTGTTGAGTCCTGCTCTGTCTGTGTAATTCTTTGTTATTGTTCTTCCTCAGCTAGATCGCCAGGTTGTTTCGTATGTTTGCAGACGAACGGTGATCCTGTTGAAATCCGAATGTTAGGATGGATGTTTCTTTTTGGTGTAGATTAGGCTAGGGTATACTCATAAGGGTGACGATGGCACCTTGTTAGAGTTGGATGTGGGACGAAAGAAGGACCTGAGCTACTTGCCATCTCGGGTTCTCACCGGACTCCCGAAAAGGACCTCAGCCACTGGGGCTTGGGTAATCCACTCGTGCCCCGTGCGGGTAGCAATTGTTCTAAGGGGATGGGGGGCGAACCACGATTGACGCTTGATTATCCATGTTGCCTGCAATATCATGCATCCGCCGTTAGCAGTGCTCTCTGATCCTGGTTGCATCTAGTAGTGTAGGCCAGCATTACTTTTGAGTAGTGGTGGGCTGGGCGCTTGGCGCCAATCAAGAAGGGCAACACTGGATAAGTTGTTGATGGTGGCGAGAAGAGGCTGACACTGACATTTGAGTTCATTGTATTGCTCGTATTTGGCTTGTAAAAAAAAAAAAAAAAAAAAAAAAACAAATAAAAAGGATACCCAATACAACTCGCAAAAGTGGCTTAAAACTGAAAGTGTCTCATACTGCAAAGTGTGATGTGCACAAGAAACAATGTACAGTTCTGCCAAAAAGAGGCGACTGAGAAGTGTCTGTCAAATATCTCACTACCTGCAAAAAAGTGGCGTCTCAAAACAGAAAAGAGGCAAGAATCGGATATGTAACTATTCTGACCAACATACAAACATCTACAAACCGAAGCGAAATAAAAAAAAAGGTCCGACAATAGTTTATGGAAAGGAAAACGAACTACTGTCGATCGTAAAATAAACACTCTTGGACAAGACAACTCACCGAAAAGCTATCCTAAACTGATGGAAGTAACGAACCAGTCGCTACTTCTATGTCGCCAACATCAGCAATGGCGGCAGGAACAAACCAGCGGCAGGAACAACCAAGCTGCGGCAGCAGCAAAACCACGAGAATAGGGCTTAGCGACAGTAGCAGATAAAAGACTACATGAAATGGGTTGACCGACAACAACAGTGGCAACAATAGATAAAAGCCCACTTGACAACAACCAGGAAAATGAGAGTAGCGACAACATTAGAGGCAACAGCAACAGCAGCAACAACAACAGCAGTGGAAATAACAATTTACACCAGCAGTAGTGCAAGCAAGAGAACAAGCAGCAAAAATGGATCTTGGACTGCAGCGCAGCAGCGGTGGTAATTATAGAACTATATCACAGCGCTGGTAATTATAGAACTATATCACAACAGCAGTAGAAATGTCAGCAGCGATGTAGGACTTTAACAACCAACGGTGTTTCTGGACTGAACACGATATAAGACTATAATACAACAACAGAGACAAAACGAAAACACTACCAGCAGCGAAGAAACCACAAAAGCAGCACCAACAGAGGACACACGATTAAGAAAAGCAAGCAACGAAGACAAAACTTAAACAACAAGAGAAGTGGATGGTGACCTTCAAAGCAAGGCAAAAGCGACAACTAACAAACCAATGACGAGGGAAATCTGCAAATGCCAAAACCTTTAGCTTCCCCCTAAGAAATGAAACAAAGTGTGCACAGTGCTCGACCTTTCCTTTCAAGAGAATCTAATCTCTTAAGGGTGAATGGTTGCTCATGACCGTCACTTACTGGGCGAGGTCTACCTCGACTCTTGCCGGAATGCAACCGAACGACATATGCACATTAACAAAGCTAGGACATCTACTAAGGTACATATCTGAAAATAATTCCAAGAGCGCAGATGACATATAATCTTATAATGAAAACTTGTTATAGAACTATATGCGCCTTTACAAGAGTTCAGAGACCTGTACCTAGGCAGGTCAACGTGTGCGGTTGCGCAGACCTACCACGACGCCACCCAAGGAGCTAACTACCTCCTCTCTACCGACCTTTCTTTTACGACCATGAGTATTGCCCGTGGCAGCTCTGTGCGATGTCCTCCCTCTCACGATCCGCAGACAGTCTAGTGACTTCACCAGTCTCGACAGTGACCGCCCGCTGATAAGAGAGTTCGCCTTCTTCACGCTCGCCCTGCAGCACTGGCATTTTGCGCCTCTTTCACGCTGCGCCGAGATCCTCCCTCTCCACGTCATGCTGAATGGCAGCGGCCACATCCGTCCCCTGCTGTTGGGCAGCTGTTGCTGCCTCTCAGTTGACACTGGCCTCCGCTGTAGACTGACCCGCTGCTAAAATACCAGGAACCGGCTCTTGAGTCTCAGTGGTCTTTTCGTGTGTCACCGGTTCGTTGTCCCCGGAGACCTCAATGTCCACATCCTGCTGGTGTTGCTTCCCCTTGCCCTTTCCCTTTCTCGACTTTTCTCTTCTTAATGTCTCCTCGATGTAGGTGAGGAGTCTCATCCGGATCCCCTTTGCGCAGCGTTTGTCCAGTTCCACAACAAGGCAGTTCCTGTTGGCCAAAACGCAGACAATGGCCCACGTACCTGAGCCAGAGAAGCCGTCCAAAACCATAACGCCGGGAGGTGAGAACTTCCTGACTAACCAGTAGTACAGAGTGTACGGCTTTTGGTACGGACACAACACTAAGTTGTCACTCGGGTGCACAAACTTGCGCGTGACTGTATCAAAAAGCTGAAAATTGTGGCAGGGATCAGTCGGGGAAAAGTTATAATGAGCCATCTCACGCTGCCCCGTCACATTGTAGTACCCCAACACGCAGAACTCCGTCGCGTTGACAAGCCTGGGGCCACCGAGATTTGTCACGTTGGGCTTGCACCACGTGAGAAGCCATTGGCCAGCATTGCAGACTTTCGCAAACGCAGACCGGACTGAGGGAAGCATGTCCACAGAGCAGAAACCAGCGACTGTCCACATCGCTGCACTAGTAACCTGCTTGGCATTCTGCAGCACATCCACAATGTCATGCTCAGGGAATGGCTCCGTGTCACGTGCATGACCTTTGTGGGCAAAACCGTAAGGAGAGTCAAAGATAGTGAGAGAAATTAGAAACTTTTCCTTCTGCAGCTGTGACAAATGCAACATGTCACCCTGAATCACCTTGACCAAGCCTGCGCACCCGTCATGTTTGACCTCCGTCCAGTCAACGAAAGACTCGTCCAAAGCCGCAGCTGGAAAGAAATCGCGAGTTGCTTTTTTTGCCTCCTTTATTCTCTTGTCCTCCATCTTCCTCCAGTGCTTGGCTCGTTCTATGTGGTCCAACAAAGCAGTGGGCTTAGCCCCGCGCCTGTCAAAACTGCCGATGAAGGGTTCAAGAACCTCCTTTGTGGTGTGCAAAGGATACAATTCGTCAGCAGTTTTGAAGTCCTTGCATCTCACACCATCGCAGAAGGTCTTCGCGACGTAGCCAAACTTCTTGACGACTTTGAACTTCCTCTCCATTTCGTCGAGGGAGATCTGTTTGGAGATGACCTCCGTCAGAATAGGGACGATTGCTTCCTGAGGGACGTTGCCCATCGTAATCCATGGATGCGCGGGCATGTCGCATGGCACCAGCGGGATTTTGTTGTCCTTTAACTTCAGGCGTGGATTGAAAAACGCTATCTCCTGTCCCCTTGCTGCCGCCTTGTCCAACCTTTTCCCTTTCCTTATCTGCTTCCCGCCCTCGAATTCGCTTGATATAGGAGCGACCTCTGTACGAATCTGGCTCTTTGTCAAAGGCTTAAGTTTCTGGTCCTTCACCTCTCCCCTCTTCCACATCTAAAAAATCTTCAACTGCAAGTCCCAGATCTCTTTCGGGCGCATAGCAATTTGCAACAGTGGGTCATTGGTCTGCATCTTCTTTGGATTGACGGGTATCCCATATTCGCGCAGGCAGGCAATCTTAACATCCGCAGTCTTCACAGTGCCCTTCCGTTCGAAGACATTGCGCCAACATTTCATCTTTTCGATGAAGTTCATGTCTCTGTGGTAGCCAGCTGCCAGATTGTGCTTGTGTGCCACCTGCCTTGCTTCATCCATCGACAGGCCTGCATAGACATAGCAGACATTCCAGTTGTAGTCGTCCTTGTCCGGGTAGATCTGTCGCAGTCGTTCTCTCTTCTCCTGACAATGTCCACCTCCAAGCACGTAAATGTTCTAGCCACCCCTTCTCAACCGGTCGAGATCCACTTCGGACTTGTATTTCACCTCCTCTAGATCCACGACACCAACAAAGGAAAGATGATCTCCAGTCGGGCAAGCGATCATGGAGTCCATGAGTGTTGAGACATGATCTTCATCGGGCTCGCGAACCTCCAAAGGCCTGTTTCTCGTCCCATCCATCGTATGGTCTCTTGAGACATGTCATGGGAAGATAAAATGGCTCTTGGGAAATTTTCTTCTGCTGCAAACTTTGAAGTTCATCCCAGGCCCGTGCCATCTCGTCGGTAAGTTCGCCTGGCACGAGACCTCGAGGTACTTGCAGCTCCTCTTGTGCAGCTTTCTCTTTCACTTTCCCAGACGCAGCACCTTTCCCTTTCCCTTTCTCAGACATGGTAGCTTTCCCTCTCCCTTTGTCAGACGCAGCAGGCTTAGTAGCGCATATCTTCTTTTTTACACCAATCGCTTTCGTGCCCGACCCTCTCTCCAGAGGTCCTGATGACTCCACGCATGTCTGTGGGGAAACGACATCAGTCGCAGCCCTCGGTCTCTCACTCGAACTCCTGTGTCTCGACGGGCCGGGGGTTGCGATCCCTACAGGCTTCGGCTGCGGTTTGAATGGAAGAAGATTGTGAGTCAAACGGGGACTTAAGTAATGCGCAAGTTCTTGGAAGAATCTCTGCACACACAAGCAAAGACAAATGTGTGCAAGAACAGATGAGTGAAACAAAAACACAGTCAGAATAACAATAGAAAAATCAGCAGCAATGGAAACAGCACCAAACCGGCAACAGCAGCGAAAAAAAGCGACAGACATGATTCTGTTAAAGTCCAAAACCACAGTGTGTTGTGGTGTTGTCCAAACCACAGTGCGTTGTGGTATTGTCCAATACCACAGTGCATTGTGGTAGCTGTGGTATTGTCCAATACCACAGTGCGCTGTGGTAGCTGTGGTACTGTCCAAAACCACAATGCATTGTGGTCTAGGACAATACCACAACGCACTGTGGTATTCGACAATACCACAGCAGCAGCGACAAAAAGCGACATACATGATTCTGTTAAAGTCCAAAACCACAGTGCGTTGTGGTGTTGTCCAAAACCACAGTGCGCTGCGGTATTGGACACAGTGCACTGTGGTAGCTGTGGTATTGTCCAAAACCACAGTGCGTTGTGGTAGCAGTGGTACTGTCCAAAACCACAGTGCATTGTGGTATTGGACACTACCACAGCGCACTGCGGTATCGGACAATTCCACAACGCACTCTGGTGGTGGCACTGTGGTATTGGACAATACCGCAACGCACTATGGTTTAGGACAAAACCGCAACGCGCTGTGGTTTTGGACAATACCACATCTCACTGTGGTATTGGATAATACCGCAGCGCACTGTGGTAATGGACAACACCGCAGCGCGCTGTGGTATTGGACAATACCACAGCAGCAGCGACAGAAAGCGACAGACATGATTCTGTAAAAGTCCAAAACCACAGTGCGTTGTGGTAGCTGTGGTACTGTCTAAAACCACAGTGCACTCTGGTATTGGACACTACCACAACGCACTGCGGTATTGGACAATACCACAACGCACTCTGGTGGTGGCACTGTGGTTTAGGACAAAACCGCAGCGTGCTGTGGTATTAGACAATACCACAACGCACTGTGGTAATGGACAATACCATAGTGCGCTGTGGTAATGGACATTACCGCAACGTGCTGTGGTATTGGACAATACCATAGCGACAGAAAGCGACAGACATGATTCTGTTAAAGTCCAAAACCACAGTGTGCTGTGGTGTTGTCCAAAACGGCAGTGTGTTGTGGTATTGTCCATTACCATAGTGCACTGTGGTAGCTGTGGTATTGTCCAATACCACAGTGCACTGTGGTAGCTATGGTATTGTCCAATATGACAGTGCACTATGGTATTGGACACTACCACAGTGCACTGCGGTATTGGACAATACCACAATGCAATGTGGTGGTGGCATTGTGGTTTTGGACAAAACTACAGCGCACTATGGTTTTGGACAAAACCACAGTGCACCGTGGTTTTGGACAAAACCGCAGCGCACTGTGATAATGGACAATACCGCAGCGCGCTGTGGTATTGGACAATACCACACCAGCAGCGATAGAAAGTCCAAAACCACAGCGCACTGTGGTATTGGACAATACCACAGCGCGCTGTGGTATTGGACTTTCTATCGCTGCTAATGTGGTATTGTCCAATACCACTATTGGACAATACCACAGCGTGCTGCGATATTGTCCATTATCACAGTGCGCTGCGGTTTTGTCCAAAACTGCAGCGCACTATGGTTTTGTCCAAAACCACAGTGCACCGTGGTTTTGGACAAAACCGCAGCGCACTGTGATAATGGACAATACCGCAGCGCGCTGTGGTATTGGACAATACCACATCAGCAGCGATAGAAAGTCCAAAACCACAGCGCACTGTGGTATTGGACAATACCACAGCGCGCTGTGGTATTGCCGATTACCACAGTGCACTGTATTATTGGACTCTGACATAGTGCAATGTGGTACAAACGACAGTCACTTTTTGTGGCTACAAGCATCCAAATGCAGTGGTCCTTCATTGGAGAAAAACAGATAGAGACACAAACAGGCACCATGATGAGGTCCAAAAAAGGCAGTCACTGTGACGGATGGGCCAACAGTTCTTGTCGCGAAATCTGACCTTGAAGTCCTTCTTGTTCGCTGCCGCCAACTTTTTGTTCTCTATAGGAAATTTGCTTGGCACGAATTTATTCTTTCGAAGTATGAAGCTCACAGGCTTGTTGGCAGCAATGACCCAAATTTCAGCAAAGTACTGCTTGTTCTCGAAAAGCCAACTCGCGCAGACGATCTCACCATAGCATTTATACTGTGCCTTGTTCTCCGACTGCACGTACAACTTTAATCCAGCAGCTGTGATGCAGACGGCCCAGAAGAACGGAAAAAGGTCTTTTCGCAATTTCGTGTTTATGAGTGTATCGTTCACCCATTTCTTTTTCCCCTTCCCACAGACAATCTCCATGTCTTCCTCCTCTTGGTCCTCCTTTTCCTCCTCTTCCTCCTCTTCTTCCTCCTCTCCCTCTTCTCCTTCCTCCTCTTCCTCCTCTTCCTCCTCTTCCTCCTCTTCCTTCTCTTCCTCCTCTTCTTCCTCGTCTCCCTCTTCTCCTTCCTCCTCTTCCTCTTCTTCCTCCTCTTCCTCTTCTTCCTCGTCTTCCTCCTCCTCTGCCTCCTCTTCCTCCTCTTCTACCTCCTCTTCCTCCTCTTCCTCAACTGCCACCTCTTCATCGCCATAATCTTCGTTCATCTCGTTGTGGACCTGCGTCTCAAATTCTAGTTCCTTAACGAACATGACCCGAGGCGCTGTTGGTCCCCCTGTGCTGCCGCGTGATTGGCTTGGCCGTGCTGAAACAGCCCTGCCCGGATTCGACTGTCCCACTTTGTTCTTCATCTTGGACGAACCTCTGCGAGAGCAGAAAGACAAAGAGAACAATTTAGAAGACGAATACAACGAACAACAGTGCAAACCTGTGTTTGTGTGTGTCTGTCTGTGTGTCTGTGTGTGTGCCTGTGTGTGTGTGTGTGTGCCTGTGTATGTGTCTGTGTTTGTGTGCCTTTGGTTGGGGAGAGGGGTCTGTGTTCTTTGTGTGTGTGCCTGTGTGTGTAAGTGTCTGTATCTATGTGTGTGTGTTTGTGTGTCTGTGTTTGTCTGTGTGTGTATCTGTGTGTGTGTGTCTGTGTGTCTGTGTTTGTGTGTGTGTCTGTGTGTGTGTGTGTGTGTGTGTGTGTGTGTGTGTCTGTGTTTGTATGTGTCTATGTCTGTGTGTGTGTGTGTGTGTGTGTCTATGTGTGTGTGTCTGTGTGTGTATCTGTGTCTGTGTTTGTATGTGTGTGTGTCTGTGTTTGTGTGTCTTTGTGTGTGTCTGTGTGTGTGTCTGTGTGTGTGTGTCTGTGTTTGTGTGTCTGTGTGTGTGTGTTGTGTGTGTGTGTCTGTAGTCAAGCAACGAGCAGGTTGGTATAGGGCTATAAGCCTTTTGGGGGGAGGGGGAGGTTCGTCAAGCAACGAGCAGGTTGGTGTA